TATTCGTTTTATACGGTACTTTCCATTCACACATATGTATGTATGACTATTTACTGTTTTTACTCTGTGTTTTCTTCTGTATTCGACACATTTTTCTTACAGAATGTGTCATTAATTTTACTCACTAAACCAAAAGCAAAAAGCTGTCAAGTTTACCGTGAAAACCCAAAGCTGCCAAGTCAGTCAGTGTGCTTAGTCATTTCGCTATACTTCACAAGAACAAATTCCTAATTTATAAGTGTTCACTTATATGACACACGTAAATAAGTCTGAAGTTAAAGTAAAAACCTGTTGGACAAATATTAGGATATCTATATATACATAGTATAATACGCAACGGTTTTTTTTTGTTCTGGATAAAAGATCTATACCGTTCTTCCAATTTTCAAAGATGAGATGCCAAATTAAAGCACTGTAGTGTGCAAACTGGTTCTAGTTTTTCGAAAAGAGTTGCCACCTTTTAAAAAACTATATTCGAATTATTCAAAATGCTTTTGATAAGCTTTGTTTCCTAGCTGAACTATCGGAGGGTTTCCACCTTTTAAAAAAAAATCATATTAGGTAAGAGAAATATGTATCACCACATGCGTGACACACGAAAGGGGTTTGCGAAAGTACCAGTTTTAAAATATTTTAAAGACGGTTGCCACCTGTTTGAAAAGTCGAATTTAGTTCACTTATTCACAATACGATAATATCAAAATATGGATGTCTAACGAAGGAGTTTTAAGAAATCTTTAGTTTAAACGCTAAATATATTTTTGAGCTGTTAGAATGGGGTTGCCACCTTTTTTAAAAGTTAAATTCCAATTATTTTATAAGTTAAATTAGTTATTAAAATATGGGTATCAATCGAAGGGGGTTTGAAGTTTTTTTATTTCTGAACTGTATTTAACGGAGTTGCCACATGTTTGAAAATTGAAATTCCACTTAAATCATCAGTTAATTAAAAGATGTATCTGAGTGTCCGGCGAAGGGTTAACAGTGATTAAGATTGAAAATACTTTCGAAGAGGGCTGCCACCTGTTTCAATTAATTAATTCAAAAAGTATATGAAATTCAAAAATACCGTAGTCAAACGAAATAATGTTAAGAAATCTTTAGTTTAAACCATTCGAATATTTGGAGAGCTGATACGTGTTTAAAAATAACATTTCAATGATGATTTTTGATGAAATATGGCAATGGGATCTCTTATAACTCTAACTACCATTGGAATATTTTTAAGTTTATGAAACTCTATTTTAGGCGTTTTAACGCCATACGAGTTCACTAGTATTAGGATATACATAAATATTAAATGTTTTTCACTTCACTTCTCAAACATGAAATGGAAGAGCTTACTAGAGTAATAATATTTTGGAATTTCAATCCATGCCGGTTGAAGCACCCCCTAAAAAAGTCCGTTTTCTAAGCGACAAAAACTAAAACGCTACTAGTCGCAAAGAGGCTCTTCAACCGCGCAGATATGCAATTTGAATGCTGCCATTGGCCACAGTTCCTACCCAAACAATTTTAAGTTGAATTAATAGTTGTCGTGGGAACACATTCATTCATAATTGAAGTAAAACATATGTTCCTTGTGCAAAAATTTTTAACATACACACATATGTCCCTGAACACAATACCACACAGCCGCAAATTTAACTGACCGTATGGTTTTGCATAAACCCTATCGAATTCCTTAATCTACACCTAACGAAAATCTACTTGCTTGTCTTTCATTTCTCATGCATACATACATTAACATATGTACATTAGGGTGCACCACCAAAAAAAATGCGGGTTTTTCACGGCAAAAATGTAACTTATTATATTTGTCAATGTTATTGTGGCTTGTTAACATTTTTATTTTTTTATTATTTTATTATACTTTAAGGCCTTTGCCAAAAAATCTCAGAAAATAATTAAGATTTGCGTTAGCTGGATCTCCGAAAATATCTCCAAAAATCTCATTATTTTGATTCCGCTGATAAATTTTTAAAACATTTTTATAAAAACCTTTTAAACTTGAAATTTTTTCGTCAGAGGTGATTTTTAAGAAAAAAAATTATTTAAAAAATTACTTTTATTCATAAAAAAAACTCGATTTTGGAAGTGTTTTCGAATGGCTGCAGCTTACGTAAAACATAATTATTTTCTGAAATATCTTGGCGGAAGTGTTAGAATCAGGGACCGTAACGGTTGTTATCGTTTTAGTAAAAATCATAATTTATAAAAGTTGAATTGGATTTCTATTTTTCCCATCGAATTTAAACGTTATTTTATGATTTTTGTTTTTCCGATCAATAATAATCTTCATTTTTGGATTTGAGTTTTTCGATCAATCTCGATCGTTATTTTAGGTTTTTATTTTTTCAATCATAGTGTAAATTTTTTAGATCACAAAAGTTTAAAATCGGTCATAAAAACGCAGTCTCCCTCAAAACGACTAAGAATCATCGAAAAATATTAAATCCAAAATAACGATCATTTTTGACAAAAACAAAATAAATAGAAAATTACGATTAAATTTTACCGACAAATTACTAATCCAAAATCAACTATTATTGTTTATCGAAAAAAAAGAAAACGATGCTTAGAATGTAATATTTTTTTTTTTTTTGTATAGACAGCGATCCACCCTAATGTACATACATATGGCGAGAGCATATATTGCCTTTTAATTTACAAGGCAGCAAACCTGTCTTTACAAGCTACATGCATCTCTTCAATCATATGTATGTACACACAATATTGGTTTAAGCATACTTACATGTAAGCCCGAAATCTAATATCCTTTTAGTAATATGCACAACTGAAACATTAATCCTTCTTGTGAATATACAACTTAACCCTTTTGTGTTAAACAATGGAAAAATCATTTTTGGATCAAGTTGTAAACATACATTCACACTTGATGGCTAATTTCGTACAAATACATATTCACTTCGAATTTCTTTAGCTGCTATAAATGCCATTTAACCTTTGCCAAAGGATATGATGTAGATTAATTGCTGACACTCAATTCGATGAAATCCACGTGGACTTTTGTTAACCCACATAACTTACAAAACCATACGGAGTAGATAGGTATCCCTTTGATTTGTCTCTGCTACACACATTTCACTAAAATCCTAACTTAACACTCAAAAGCGTAGTTAAGTCCAACAACGTTATGTGTGTAGCTATATTTTAAAGAGTGAATAAAACTGAAACATGAGCACAAGTAATGATTCGCATGGAATGATATGAGTGGCCAGCCCATAGGACTTTAAACCAATCAAACATTATTCGTTCAATACGAACTTGTTTTATAATGCGGTTGGTGAGTTAAACTATAATAACACCGTGCGATAAAAACCAAGAAAATTTTTATTTAATTTTGAGTGCCAAGTGAAAGAGAAAGTTTAGGAAAAATACAAAAATTAATTTTTTTTTTTTGGTTCACAAAGACGTATAGGATTTTTGTTTATTAAGCTAATAAAATTAGAAGGACGAATTCGTGTGTTTATTAGTCATTAGATAACATATAATTTTTTTTTTTTAAGTGAAACTTCTTCAGCGGCGGTTGGTTGGTTGGGAGTAAATTGGCAAATTCAATGGAAATTTCACACGGAAATGGTGTCACAGAAGAATCACAACTCAAAATTTGGCATTTTTTTTTTATAAAAGTCTACCTCATTTTACATATAACTAACTGGGTTTAAATGCGTATTTCAATTTTGTACAAAATTTATAAACATTAAAAAAAAAAATTTGCCAAAATTTCAAACTTTTTACCCAGCATTTTTAGAAAATTTTCAGGTTCGCAGTTTTATAGCGCATTAAATTAAAGTAGGATGCAAGTTTCATACAGTTACAAAATACCGTAGATTTTTGGGAATTTTCTAAACTATGCTGGGTATTTTCTTCCATATAAATAAATTGTCGAATATACTTTGTATGGAAGAAAATGCGTGGCACCGCCAGCAAAAAAAATTATAAGAAATTAACGTTACTTTTAGTCACTTGAAACTTGCCTTTTATCCTGCCATAATTTAATGGGCTATACTTATAAAATTGCTTACCTAGAAATTTTCTAAAAATGCTGAGTAAAAATATTGAAAGAGGTTGAGTCAAAAAAAAATTCAAAACACACCAAGCAATCAATATAATCACGACAATATGGGCCAAATATAGTAAAACTGCGTTTTTAGTTTTAGATTTTTTTTGTTATCACTTTATAATTTCAAAGACATGATAAATTATAAAAATTATTTAAAAAATTCAGTGCAATGTAGAACAAAAATTGGTTGATATCAAAAAAATCTGTAGGATTTAAAAAAATTAAAATTTTTCGGATTCACAAGAACGAATAGATATTGAAAATGCCCCTTTAATCAATTTCACTTTTTAAGCTAATAAAGTTAGAAGGACAATATTCAAGAACGTTGTCGAATTTATATTAATTCTCAAAATTAATTTTTTTCAAAATAAATATTGCAACAATTCTTAAACACATTTCTAATACCTCATGCACCAAAAAATTTTGGTCTGTTCTTTCTCTACAGAATTTTCATTGCACTAAATTTTTTTAAAGCATTTTCTGAATTAATCATATTACTCAATTTTCAATATGACGTCAGATAGAAAAACTAAAAACGCAATTTTACTGCACATATTTGACGCATGGCTTCGCGAATATATTGATTTGTTTGTGTTTAGAAAATTTCCTGTAGCACGGTATTATGTGTATGTATAATTAGCTAGACATTTATAAAAAAATATTTAATATTAAATAACCAAAAGAAATATAGAAAAAACTGGTCAACATAAGGCATTTCTATTATTGCCACCATTGCAAATTATAGATCCCGAAAATCCCGGCATTCTTGGCAAATAATTCCATGATTTTCAGCACTTAAAAAAGGACGGGATCCCGGGATTAACATCCCTATTATTTTCGTATTCTCTTAAAATCCATTTCCAAATTACTCATACGCCCTGTTGCGCAATGTGCATTTAAATAATATGAGAAAATGAAAGAATATTCCATGTGGGTTACTGTTACATTTCGCGCAAGTAATTTATCCATCCTTATGTATGTATATGTGCCGTTCCTTAATTTTATTTTTATTTATTTTTTTTGTACGTATGTTCACAGCCAATGTAGCCATGTATCTCAAAGTGAGAAAAACAACCAACGCAACGCGCATTTGCAAACAGCACTACATTTGCTCACCCATTCGACCGCAATAAACAATTCCATTTTCATTTCATTTTCAATTAAGTCGACTAACTAAAAGTTGGGGTAAGATTGTTTGTGGTTTGGTGAGTAGTGGCTTTCACTTCCATCCTCTTGCCCCCCCCCCCCCCCCCCCCCCAATCTGGTTTATTTCTATTTAGACATTTCCCGATCGCTTTAGCATTGCCTTGAACCATATAGTTGACCTCAGCGACCAAGTGTGCATTTCAGTTGAGGCTGGAAATTCATTAATTCATCGCAGTTGGCCAAAACCCACAGTAGAGCAACTATGTATGTATATAAATACAACCCATTGACCTTATTTCGAGTCAATTTATTTTCCACTTAACACTCGCTCCTCAACCGTGCTGCTGCATTTTGTTTTTTTTTTTTCGTTGTCTCATTTTGCAGCACTGATTTTTACTCATTTACTTAGCCATATTCTTTTCAGCCCTTTTCATTTCCATATCAAATGTTGCCTTTCTCGATGGTAGTTTACATTACATAAATATTTTTTCGTTGCCTCTTGTAACTCAATTGTATCTAAGTAAGTATTTATTTGTATTCTTTCAAGGTTACTGGCCGCTCGGCTTCGTGTGGTGCAACATTTATGTAACCTGTGATGTGCTGGCCTGTTCGTCGAGTATACTGCATATGTGCTTCATCAGCCTTGGTCGTTACTTGGGCATACGAAATCCGCTGGGATCGCGACACCGCTCAACTAAACGGCTAGCTGGCATAAAAATCGCCATCGTTTGGGTGATGGCCATGATGGTGTCGAGCTCGATTACAGTTTTGGGTGAGTTCAAAAATATACGATGCCCTTAACTGGTTTTATTTTGTTTACTTGTGGTTTTGTTTTAATTATCTTTTGTTAAGAAAACTGCTCGTATTTATTTAACAAATGTATCTACTTTACTAACAATTTCTTTTTTTCTCTTCCTCTTTTTCTCAGGCCTCGTTAATAAGCACAATATTATGCCAGCGCCGAACATTTGTGTCATTAACAATCGCGCTTTCTTTGTCTTTGGTTCGCTTGTGGCTTTCTACATTCCTATGCTGGTGATGCTCACTTCCTATGCTTTGACAATACCGCTGCTGCGCAAGAAAGCACGCTTTGCCGCTGAGCATCCGGAAAGCGAACTCTTTCGGCGGTGAGTACTGCAATATTTGTATCTCTGTAATATATGTGCTAATTTTGCTGTTGTATTCGAAAGATACAACATATTTAATTAATTGGCTTTAATTTTGTCGCTGTCATTGAAAAATTCACTATGTACTACAACTAAGTGATGCACACCAATCTGGTTTTCTTTAACCGAGAGTAAAATTTTAAAATAAATTTTTATTTGTAATTGTTATGCAAAAAAAAAATTGAGTTTTATTTTATAAACCCAAAATAACGTTTATTTTTGATTTTTATCTAAATTATCTGTAAATAGCAGTCTAAGCCTAAGTTATATATGCTTCATTATTTATGTACTATATTGAGAATTTTGTTGTACAAAACTCTATTGTTTCAACTGACACCGAACAAAAAAATTTAATTTAGATTTATATAACCCTAGAATGGGAGAGTCGAAAAAACTGGTTGGTCTACACAAGTAAATTAATAATTTTTCCTATAAAAAAAAAATATATTATGCTCTTTTCTTCAAGAATTAAGCAACATTCTATTTAGTTTCTCATCAATGCCAAATCAAGTTTATCTTAACAAATTCCTCTCTGCTCATTCTTCTTAAGCTTAACTACTACCTTCTTACTATCCATAGATACTGAAAGTATTGGTATTAATAAGTGCTTATACTTGCTCTTCTTCTGCAGTTTGGGTGGTCGCTTTACAATACGACCGCAACATAGCCAGCAGCAGTTGCAACTACACAACAATAGTAGCTTTCGCAGCAGTAATAATAGCCACACCAGCTACAGCAAGTACTGTGTCAGCGACAACAATCGCAATTTCAGCGCCAATAATCATGGCAGCAATGATGTCGGCAATAGAGACAATGGTGATTATGACAAACAACGGGCGCATGGCTTGCGGCATACAAACAATTCGAATTACACAAATGGCGGCGGCGGTGGCAATGCTGCAGCGTGTGCGGGTGGAAATGGCGGCGGTGGCAGTAGCGGCAATAGCGGCGGTGGTGGCATCTTTGGTGGCACATTTCTCAATTGTCGCACAAGTTTTCGACGCAGCACTATACGTCATTCATCTTCGTCATCTGTACGCATCAAATCTCCACCGCGTGACGCCAGCCGACTGATGCAATCACAATCAGCGCAACATAGTAGCTATTGGCGGTCGCACGGCAATCCAAACATAATGGATAGGTGAGTAAAAGTCTATTGTTTATATTCTTTTGCGTTTTGTTTAATTAACTTGGCTACTCATTTACTAGCCAGAAAATAGCGCACCATTAGTTAACTTCGTAATAAGTATATGATTCTATATTATCACTGACTGAAAGCTGTCACATTTCAAATGTTGTATTTAATAACTGTGTTAACCCTCTCAAGACCAGAAGCCTATAATTAAAGATACATGGTTTGAATTATAAAATGTGATTCATCGAGGGCAAAATAAACAAATTCTGACAATAAAAAGAATTCAATACAAAACAACATAATTTTCTCCTAAAAATTGCCCTTACTTTCAACAAAAACTGTTTCTTTCTTAACCTTTTTATTCCAAAAATTGTTCGTTATTGTTATTATTTTCTAAACTTTTCTAGCCCTCATCCATCGGAAATTTTATGTAACATAAAGTACATTGTGCATCAATTTGATACATATGTGTATAGAAAAGGCCCTGCTACTCGATGAATTGTTGGGACTTTTTTTTACTCTTTTATTAATGGCCAACGTTCATTCATTTTCGGATAATAAGAAAAAAGTTCATGAAAAATCTATACGCATTTGTCGGAAATTATGTAATGGTGTGAAGGACATGGAAACATTTTGTGTTCGTGACAACGATTACTATACAATTTCAAATCCATTCTTGGTGTTGATATGTGGCAATGTGATCTTTTCACCGATTTTGGCAATTTTTACAGTAATTGACTGCCTGAGGGCTCACTTTGGTGGTTAGTTACACCTTTCAGCTGTTTAATAAGTTATTTGCGTTGCCTGACTTTGGTAAAGAATTCCGAGTTTGTATGTATGGCATCACCAATGACTCAGATACCTCAAGGATAAAGAGACGACAACGATTTTTTCTATCCTTTTTCATCCACGAGGGATTTAGTTCAATAAATACTATAAATGAATTGAAAATGGAAACATCGATCATTTTGGCAAATATAGCCATTGTCCAACAACACACGTAGACCTAAGGTGCGATCAACTAAAAAAAATAAAAATTTCGCGATTTTTTTTGCATAAATAAATCAATTTATAGAACTCACATCCAATTAATTTATATATATTTTTTTCTTCATGGTTATATACACTAACTAAAAAACTACTGTCATACCTGTTTTTTTTATTAATTGCGTTGAATCTGTACGATCCACAAGCAGTTAAATTTCCCTCACTGAATTTTGAGTTAGTTCACTTTAGATCTATGTAGGTGAGCGATATATTCGTAATCAAAGTATCCACCCCGCGACAATGATAGCACATCAACATTTTTACCAGTTTTGACTACCTTTCTTTTGATTTTTTAAGATTCATTATTTTTATATAAATTATAACAAATACATACATAAAAATCGAAATTTTTGACTTTGTACAAAAATTATAAAAATTCCACAGATTTTTCATCCCAATTTCATGCATTCTAATTTTAATTTCTGGAATAATTTTTGGTATGCAGTTGTATAGCCTATTAAATTCTGGAATTAAAAAATGCAAGTTTTAAGTTGCCAAAAAATCGCGTTGGTTTTTGATAATTTGTTTCCCTGAACGGTGTATCAGAAAAAAAAACAATATTTTTTTGTTAGTTTTATTCTCAAAAATATTGTTTTCTGTTAAAAATTGTATACAAAAAAATTTCGTTTCTAGTGTATAATATTTTTGTTCAACAGTGAAGCTCGGTTTTATTCAGCGATTTTTTTCTTGTTTAATGATTTTTAAATTTTTCTTAAAAAAAACTCAAAAACTCAAAACTCTGTTGTTTCTAATGTTCGGGAAATATTTTCTAATTTGGGTGAATATTTTTTGGGAAATGTTTAGTTATTGGCCCACCGTTTTTGGGGTGGGGGGTGGAGGGGGAGGGGGCGGGGCCCCCAAACCCCCCTCATTCGAAAGGGGACAGTCGCCACTTTACGAAAAGCCCCACCCCCCCTTGGGGACCTCCCACAGACCCCTAGGGAACCGTTTGAAAATGGGGTAAAAACGTAATTTTCCGAGGCAAACTGAGCAGTTTCAAGTGGAATAT